TCAAGTTACATGAATTTTTGATGTTCGATATGTTTTCCACGTGATGTTTGAAACTTTTTTAGGTGGCGATTTTACCCCGGTCTTAATAATGCATCATACGCACGGGAATTTCGGAATTCGTAATTCTGGCCCGCGTTAGCAGTGAGCTACTATAATGCAGGCAAAAATTCCAGAAAAAAAAATGGTAATTTGCACATCACTAGACGAAAGCAATTGATGCTGAAAGAAATGATTAAGCTAGAAAGACTTCATAGGAGAAAGGAAAAGAACTGCATTATTAAAAGTCTAGAAGTGTTAGCTTAGCTTTTAATGTATCTATTTAGAATTAATAAATACAGTTCCACCAAAACCAGTGTATAAAATTTATTTGCAGAAGGAGCGGAGTGCATGCTAAAAAAGGTTCATCACCTTGAAATTAATATGTGCGCTTGCGCATATTAAAATTTTTTAAATTCATATATGTTTTGGGCTTTGAAGTGCGACATATTTAATTAGATTATATATTATTTGTGCTATTTATTTTATTGCCCACAATTTTGATGCTGAATTTTAACACTGCACCAAACTCGTTATAAAAGTCACGTGGTACATATAAACTTTAGACTCCTATTTTATTGAGACGACTAGACTTACTATTTATCTTAATTTGAGACTCAACGTTATGGATAATAAGAAAATTTCGAGCTTAGATTTTGTCACGAAGTTTGTTAATAGAGGTTATCAAGTTATTTAACTGTGAGACTATATCGATTTTTATAATAAATTTAAATTTTCACCTAACAATAAGGATTGCTTACTAGTATAAATTAAACGTAATGATTGAATTTATTTATTTTAATTCGATCCTCAAAGAAAACCAATAATGCTTTATCTTAAGTTGCGATGCATCCTGCATGATCATGTTTTAGTTATAAAGATATCGCAGTTTAAGAGTATAAACACATGAGCACTTTTATAAACTACAATTTAAAGTAATAAGTTAATGTTCTTCTAGATAAAAGTTTTCCAGAATTGATAATCCATGTTTATTAAGTAAAAATAAAAAAGTATTTAACAAAGTAGTATATGATTTAGTAAACGTTAATTACAGTAGCTACGTGAGCTAATTATTCAGCTCTTCTTTTAAATATAAGTTCAATTGGACGTGGCGTTCCATGAGCCTTTTCCTGGACTTTATCTTTATGTATGCTATTTGATGGCAATAATATCTCATATTTACGCACTATAAAAAGTATGTAAGAAAACATTAAATAGATGTAAAAATTTGGCTCAATATTAATTAAAATACTTACATATTAAGCATAACGTAATTCTTTGTTCAATAAGTGAAAAGTTATTTCCCAAACACCTACAGTATTAATTTTTTTAAAAAATATTTTCTTTAAATTCGTATTACACATTGTTATTCATATATTACATCCAATAAAAAAAAATAACAAACATTCTGGATCCACCACCAAAGGCCGCCCAAGAATAATTTCCACTTGTGTGATGTTCATTTTCAAATCTCTCGGGTATAAATTCTTCAGGATTTTCCCACAACTTTGGTGAATGGTGTATTCCATATACAAAGACTGCAATACCTGTGTCTGCCGGGATCACGTAATTTTTATATTTTAAATCTTCTGTAACTTTGCGAAATGGTAACATTGGGGCCTGGTGTTATTAAATAATTGTTTTACGTTATATATCAATATACCCATATATATCATACTATAATTACTTATAAAAAAATACATAATACTAACTGGAGGGTGTAATCTAAGATTTTCATGAATGATCATGTTCAAGTACTTCAATGATTTATGTTGTTCTGCTGATGGAGTTAAATCATCGCCAAGTATTCTCAAAATTTCCTCTCGAGCTTTTTGTTGAACATTCTAGATAAATAAAAAGTATAGGGTTACTGTATTAAATAAAATAAAAAAACCTTTACCAAGTTAACGGAAAATATTCATACTTTATGAACCGACAATAGATATAAAAGTGTTGCCAAGGCATTTGCAGCTTTAATTTTCAATAAATTATAAAATAAATTATGAAATTAATTATTAAATAAATCGCACATTTAAAATTAATGTAATATCACCTACTTGTGTCATGGCCCGCAACCATAAAAATTGACAAATTATGCTATTATGATATATTATGATTTAATGACATTACGTTAGTTAAAATTTATTATTATGTTATCTATGATTTTTAGATAAAATTTTTTATCATACTCTTAATTCAATATCAGTTAAACTTGGATTATCTTGATCATTGCAAGCATTTATCATAAGTTCTAAAAGGTCGCCATTAGATCTTCCAGCAGCTATAGATTTATGTTTCTTTTCAATCATTTCATCAAACAAATATTCCAATCTCTCAATCTTTCTAAGACGTTTATTCCTAAAATACGGAATGCGATCTAATGGAAGAAGTGTAAATATAACATTTTTAAGTTCTTCCTGGACATCATCATATGCTGTTACATAGTCATTGGTTGGATCTCCAAGATTCTAATTCAAAGATCATTTAGAATTAATTAAATATTATATACAGTAACGCAAAAAAAATGGTTTGTATATACATTAAAGTCAAAATCAAAGACTGCTTTTCCAAGAACATCCAAGGTAAATCTAAAAACAAATTAAATTTAAAATATTTAAATATATAAATGAGTGTTTATTTTGCTTATTACCTATGCATAAGATCCACAACTTCAATAGGTTTATTATCAATTTGTTCTAAGTTATTCATCAATTTTAATCCTGTTTCAACGAATAAATGTATAGGCAAAGCCTTAAATGCGAGATTACATATACGTCTAAGAACAATAAAAATGTTTAATATATAATTCAAGAAATAAATAATATTTTAGGTTGCTGATACACATATATATAAAATAAAACACCTCTGTCGTTTCCAAACCTAAAAAAGTACAAATTAATCAGAAAGAAGCTCAAATACATAAATAATCAACATGAAAAATATTTAATTATGCTTACATCACCATTTGAATGAACAACATTAACACCGTAATAACGTGAAAGTGCAGAATTTGGTAAAAATTCCTCAAACGGAAGTTTTGGAAAAACGTCTATGAACCAATTTAAAACATTCTTAAATTAAAATTTGAATAAGTTATGTTGATATCAATTAGTAGGTAGATCACATACCAGGTCGTAAGAATATATCTTTTGCAAAAACTGGATCTGATATTAAGCAAATCCACTTTCCTCTAACTTGAAACTATATAATAATTTATTATTATTATTTTTTTGATGTATGTTTATTTCATTTTATAAACAATATAAAACATTACTTTTATAAGACCATCGTTATCAAGATAATTCTGATTCATTAAATACAACTTAGCAGAACCTAGATTATTTGTAAATGCGGCTTTTAATGTGCTGAAAGTTGTAACCGTATGAACATCTTTAAGACCATCTGGAACTTTAGGATTTAGATAATAACATATTATAAATAGGACAAAAATGACTAGTAAGATGATCCATAAATCCATTTTTTATTAATGAAAAAAAAGAGAATTGTGAATGTTCTGTAGTTAATCAAGGATGAAATAATGTAAAGAATGTCGTGCTTCATACTTACAGTAGGTCTCATCTTAATAAGCAATGAAAATTAGCTTGAAGATTATTGACGGATATTATGTCCGTTATTATGCCCAATTTAGACAATT